TTACTGCATCGTCTTTTAAGATTTTGAATAGCTCAGCTGGAATACTGTCACCTCCACTAGCTTTGTTGTTGCTCAGATTTTCTAAGGCCCATTTCACTTCACATTCTAGGATGTCTGGTTCGAGGTCAGTGACCATCTCATTGTGGTTATCTGGGATGTTAAGCTCATTCTTGTATAGTTCTTCTGTGTAGTTTTGCCATCTCTTCTTAATCTCTTCTGCCTCTGTTAGGTCTCTGCCATTTTGGTCCTTTATCATGCCCATCTTTGCATGAAACGTTCCCTTCATATCTCCAATTTTCTTGAAGAGATCTCTGGTCCTCCCTATTCTGTTGTTTTCTTCTATTTCTTTGCACTGTTCATTTAAGAAGGCATTCTTATCTCTTCTAGCTACTCTCTGGAATTCTGCATTCAATTGGGTGTATCTTTCTCTTTCTCCTTTGCCTTTCGCTTCCCTTCTTTCCTCAGCTATTTGCAAAGCTTCCTGAGACAGCCATTTTGCTTTCTTGCATTTCTTTTTCTTTGGGATGGTTTTAGTTGCTACCTCTTGTACAATGTTGCGAACTTCCATCCATAGTTCTTCAGGCACTCTGTCTATCAGATCCAGTTCCTTAAATCTATTTGTCACCTCTACTGTATATTCATCAGGAATATGATTTAGTTCATACCTGAGTGGCCTAGTGCTTTTCCCTACTTTTTTCAATTTAAGCCTAAATTTTGCAACGAGAAGCTCATGATCTGAGCCACAGTCAGCTCCTGGTCTTGTTTTTACTGACTGTATAGAGCTTCTCCATCTTTGGCTGCAGAGTACATAGTCAATCTGATTTCTATGTTGACCGTCTGGTGATGTCCATGTGTAGAGCCGTCTCTTGGGTTGTTGGAAAAGAGTGTTTGTTATGACCATCGTATTCTCTTGACAAAATTCTATTAGCCTGTGCCCTGCTTCATTTTGTTCTCCAAGGCCAAACTTGCCTGTTATTCCGGTTATCTTTTGGCTTCCTACCTTAGCATTCCAATCCCCCATGATGATAAGGACATCATTTTTTGGTGTTAATTCTATAAGGTGCTGTAGGGCTTCATAGAACCGGTCAATTTCATCCTCTTCAGCACCAGTGGTTGGGGCATAGATTTGGACTACTGTGATATTGAATGGTTTGCCTTGGATTCGAATTGAGATCATTCTGTCATTTTGGGGATTGTATCCCAGTATTGCTTTTCCTATTCTTTTATTGACTATGAAGGCTACTCCATTTCTTCTGAGGGATTCTTGCCCACAGTAGTATACCTGATGGTCATCTGAGTTAAATTCACCCATTCCTGTCCATTTTAGTTCGCTGATTCCTAAGATGTCGATGTTCATTCTTGTCATCTCTTTTTTGACTACGTCTAGCTTGCCTTGATTCATGGATCTTACATTCCAGGTTCCTATGGAGAAAAAATCTTTACAGCATCGGACTTTCCTTTCACCACCAGATATATCCACAGCTGAGCGTCCTTTCGGCTTTGGCCCAGTCGCTTCATTCTTTCTGGCGCTACTAGTACTAGCCCTCTGCTCTTCCCCAGTAGCATATTGGACACCTTCCGACCTGAGGGGCTCATCTTCCAGCGTCATATCTTTTTTCCTTTTAGTACTGTCCATGGGGTTTTCATGGCAAAGATACTGGAGTGGTTTGCCATTTCCTTCTCCAGTGGATCACATTTTGTCAGAACTCTCTGCTATAACCTGTCCGTCTTGGGTGGCCCTGCACGGCATAGCTTATAGCTTCATTGAGTTACGCAAGCCCCTTCGCCACGACAAGGCAGTAATCCATAAAGGGGATTATGCCAATAGTCAAGTGTAAGACAAAGTGTGACTAAGTTTAGAACTCTGAGTTCTGATTTATATGGGTGTGTATATCGCACACTCAGTGCATGATTAGTGCCAAGTTGCCAGTGTTTGTGCATTTCTTAAAAAGGTTCATTGAATTGGGTCACAAGCCCCATGTTTTAGAGCTCAGGTGGCTTAGACTCATTCACACAGTAAAGGCTATAAATGCGATAACCGGGTTAACCAGTAATGCAAACTTCTTGGAGTAATATTTTAAAGTTGGTGTGTTTAAAGCAATTTGTCTTTTTTCTTTGCCCCTTTTCATTCATTGAAAAAAACTCCAGAGTGGAACTTAGTTAAAAATGGATTACCAGTGTAACTTAGTTTTCCCCCCCATCAGATATGTGCTTTCTTCTAGATCAATGTTTCTCAACCTTGACAATTTTAAGGCATGTGGACTTCAGCTCCCAGAATTCCACAGCCAGAAATGCTGGCTGTGGAATTCTGGGAGTTGAAGGCCACATGTCTTAAAATTGTCAAGGTTGAGAAACACTGATCTAGAGATATGATTGGACATAGTTTTGGGAATATTTAACTGGTTTTTCTGGTCTCTGAACAGATAGCAGTTTTTGTATACTGATCCCAAATATACAGTACCATTTTTATTGAGAGTAGAAATGTCTCTCCAGGCGTTCTGGGGGAGATGTCTCCTTGCCTAGAAGCCTGGGCCTTTCATATGTGAAAGATCAAATCTATGATAGAGCTGTAAGCCTTCTAGACCAGTGGTTCTCAACCTTTTTAATGCCGCGACCCCCAACCGGTCGTAAGTCGAGGACTACTCAACCGGTCGTAAGTCGAGGACTACTCAACTGGTGCAGCACCGTTTGCAGAATGGGACTTTTGGCGGGCTCAGCAGGGCAGAGACAGCCTGGACAATTCCTATTGGCTTTTGAAAGCCAATAGAATTAGACTCTATTCAAGAGAGTCTATTCTATTGGCTTTCAAAAGCCAATAGAATAAAAGGGAGTAGCACAGCTAAGGAAAAGGGGGAAAATGGCGGACTGCGTTGTTTGGCGACCCCCGTGAAATGGTCGTTCGACCCCAAATGGGGTCCCGACCCACAGGTTGAGAACCCCTGTTCTAGACTAAAATGACACCTTGCACTAAACCTAATGTAGTTTGCAGTTCCACAAACTATTGAAAAATATTATAATCCCTTAAACTTTTTAAACAAAAACTCCAACTGTCTTAAAAGTGGGCAAATCAATCTACTCTTCACATAACGGACATAAGGACATAAATGCTCCTAAAATGCAGCATTTCTTAAGCCCTATTTCAGTTGAAATGCAAAGACATAAACCCGGTTCTTTCTTATAAAAATATCTTAGAAGAATGGACACATTTCTTTGCATATATTTAGGTGATTTATATTAATTTAGTATATTAATGCTTAGGATTCTTTATCTGTTAATCGTTGGATTCTACTCTTTTAATTTGTATATAACACTTAAAACACCTGATGCCTTTTGCATTAAAAACAGGCACACCTACTTTCAACCCATATCTTCTCCACCCATTTGGCTCTTGATTTCAGAAATGCAGAAATCTGCTCAGCATATCTGGAAGTTAATCATACCTTCAGCAGGGTTCAGGTTGATAGAAGCAGATGATTCATTTACTTCTATACAGTTCTGCAGATTATTGCTTTTCACCTGTATTCTGATTTAAGCTTCCTGGATTGGGGTGGGTGGGGGCGGGGAGAGGAAGTGTCTGCTGAGTCACATAGGACAAGGGTAGGCAATCTTGGCTCTTTTATGACTTGTGGACTTCAATTCCCAGAATTCCTGAGCCAGCCATGCTGAGGAGAAAGGGAGAGGTTTCCAAGCTGAGCCATGCTGATTCAGGAATTCTAGGAGTTGAAGTCCACGAATCATAAAAGAGCCAAGGTTTCCTACCCCCGGTATAGGAAATGTTATAAAGCAGTGGTTCTCAACCTTTTTAACGCCGCGACCCCCAACCGGTTGTAAGTCGAGGACTACTCAACCGGTCGTAAGTCGAGGACTACTCAACTGGTGCAGCACCATTTGCAGAATGGGACTTTTGGCGGGCTCAGCAGGGCAGAGACAGCCTGGACAATTCCTATTGGCTTTCAGAAGCCAATAGAATAAAAGGGAGTTGCACAGCTAAGGAAAAGGGGAAAAAATGGTGGACTGCGTTGTTTGGTGACCCCCGTGAAATGGTCGTTCGACCCCAAATGGGGTCCCGACCCACAGGTTGAGAACCACTGTTATAAAGGAAAGTGAAAAAGTACTCTACAGCCAGGCATTTTAAATTTTATTTTAAGGACTATAGTTCATTACTGAAAGTCAGTTTGGTGTAGTGGCTAAGGCACTCCAGCTAGAAATTGGGATACTGTGAGTTCTAGTCCCATCCTAAACATAAAGCCAACTGGGTGACTTTGGGTCAGTCACTCTCAGCCCTAGGAAAAAGCCAAGGGCAAGCTACTTCTGAAATCTTGCAAAAAAAAAAAAAAAAACTATGCAAAGACTTGTCCCTAAGTCAACCCTGACTTCAAGGCAAAAAACTCAAACCAAATCAAACCAAAAATTCCCTCCAAACAACCAGAGAGGAAAATTCTAATAAAAACAAAAATCATCAAGAACAATAAAAACCCTTATCCTGAGTAGCAGTGATAGTTACTATCTGAAATGAAATTTGCATAAATTTTTCTTCTGCTTTGCATTGGGGATTATGTATTTGCAATATTCAGAATGATCAGTGGAGAGGATCTACACTGCTAAAGATAGTGCTTAGTTGGGTAATGGGTAGCATCTTGTTTGTGATGGATTAGGGCTCACGCATTGCCCTAAGACCTAGCATCCCTATTTGTTTTAGATTAGGGGTGTTTTAGTAGCTTTAATAATTATTAAATTAAAGTAGCTTTAATAAATATACTTTATTATTGTATATTGTGGATTATTTGGTAAGCCACAGCTTATAATCAAGATTTAGCAGTCTGAATGTTGTTCAATAAATTAGCAGGGAACACCATCCATCCATCCTATAATGCTATATATTTATTAGCTGACTCGTTCATAGTTAATGGGGGTACGTAAGTGCGTTGTATGTATAGATCTGTATTTTTTATTAAAGCAAGTGGTTACCACTTAAGACTTAATGGACTATTTTCTTTCAGATGGGGTCGAGGATTTGGCCTACTAGGCTCCATTTTTGGAAAAGACAGTGCAATAAATCAACCAAACAGCGTTTTTGGTCTTATATTCTATATATTGCAAATGTTGCTTGGTAAGTAGAGAACTACCATGTCTCATTCCTGCCTACCTCTTCCTTACTTTTTGCTCCTCTTGGCAAGAAGTCAGGATATAAATTTTTTTGTTGTGATTATTTCAGTCTAGTAACCAAAATCTTGTACAATATGCATTGAATCCTAACAATTGTAGAATGTGCTTCACTAATCTCCCATTTAATTCATGTCTGCCTGACAAATCTGATGTCTAAGTCAGGGGTCCCCAACCCCTGGTCAATGGGCCGACACCAGGCCACAGCATGCCAGAAACCGGTCTGAGCAAACAAGCAAAGCCCCATCCGTGGGATGCAGGCAGTACATGAAAACACGCCCCCTCCAGTCTGCAGAAAAACTTCTCTACACAGAACCGGTCCCTGGTGCATAAAAGGTTGGGGACCTCTGGTCTAAATCATGTTCACAGTCCTCTCAGCAGTGCCTGTAGATCCTAAAGCAAAGCTGGAAGTGGTTGCTAATTCCCAGGAATTTCAAAGCAGGTTTTCTTTTGGAATCAACATTGGAGAACTGGGGAGAGCTGATAACTGGGGGGGGGGGCTGATAATCAGATTCCTCTTTACCTCCTTCCGTTATCTATGATAGCTAGAATTCCCTTCCCAATCTTCTCCACAGTGTGTTTACTACTTCCTTTAGATCCAGGCCAGACTTGCAAATAGCCGCTGCTTTAGTTGCTTCTAGATGATGGCAAAGAAAAAAAAAAATTCCCTCCAAACAACCAGATTGGAAAATTCTAATAAAAATAAATATGTCTCTTTTTCCCCCAAACCTTAATTAATTAAATTTTAAATGATTATGCACAGGTAATCATTATGCATTATACACAATACTGTTTTTGTGAGTGTATTTGCAGGTGTGTGTAACAGTGTCTGCTCCTGTTCACCCCTGTCTAACCTTGCCTCTTTCATCCTCCCGCTCCCACTCTTCTACTCTCCCTACTATCAGACTTCAGGTTCTGGGGCCAGGATCCATTCTCTGTTTGCATGCCCTAGAAAAATGCCATGCATGACATTGTTGCTGTGTAAAACAATATAGGGAGGACTTGTGCATCTTCTTCACCTGAGACATGGGAGCTGTACCCGCAGTGAGTGTGTATGAATTTCCTACAGGAGTCCTAGATCCTCTGCTTCAACACCTTGACCAGTTTTCAGTTCTGTTATGAAGTAACTTTTGGATCTTCAAAGAGTGTTTTGTAACTGAGCAAACACTATGAAAATGCATATTTAATATAATGAAGAGTATTTCATAACTTGTGTGAAGACTAGATTTATGCTTTATGTTGAGCCACTGTTTGTTGACTAATTATCATGGATTGTTCACATATCACCTCACTGGGAGAGATGGATAGCAGCTTGTTTGGCATTTCTGATGCTAGCCATCAGTCATAAGGGCTGGATCCAAAGCATGTGGTCCTTCTAAGGAAATAGATTGTTTCCTACACTGGTTAATCAGATGGATCTGGAAAAGTCCATGATCAGGGCATGAGGATCACATTCTCTTTCATTTAGTAACTGAAAAATAGAGGCAGTCTGCCTCTAAATTTGGAAGTGCCATTTAATCAAGATTATGAGCAGCAATAGATAAACCTCTTGTGCATGTATCTAAATTTTGCATAAATTCTGCTCAGCTAGTGAGCTTTGCCATATCTTAACAATTTTCCATAAATTAAATGTTGTAGGTGTTGCCTTTGCAGCATTTTAGAAATACTTTGTGAGTGGAATCAGCTATACAGAGAACTAGTGGGCTCCTTTTCAATGGATGTGCTCATGTGGAGACCGGACAGTCATTGGTTTGGAATGCCATACATTGAATTCTGGCACGGTCTGGCCTCTTCTGGTTTTATAATTCTGTGAAAAAAAGCATTGCTTGTTTCCTTCACATCAGCATGCAGTGAACAACTTTTCATTAATTTGTTCTTCAGCCTTTCAGTTGAGGAGCAACCTCCTTCTTGATTGATCTAACAAGACTTTGAAATGGTACCAGGCAGGTTTGACCACATTTTGCACTTCTAATCCCTTGACCTGAGCCACCACAGTAACTGCTTGTTTTCTTTTTCTAGGTATGACAGCAAGTGCAGTAGCAGCGCTGGTCCTCATGATGTCCTCCATAGTGTCAGTAATAGGATCTTTGTACCTATCTTATATTCTGTACTTTGTGCTGAAGGAATTCTGCGTTGTCTGTGTCATCACATACTTGCTGAACTTCATTCTCTTGATCATCAACTACAAACGACTAGTATACTTGAACGAGGCCTGGAAACGGCAGCTCCCACCCAAACAGGATTAACTGCTTTGCAAACTTTTGACTGACAGTTTGAAGGCCCGGCTTCCGTTTATGTTTATTTCACAGTAAAAAGATTTTTTTTAATTATTATTCATATCACTTGCTTTTCCCAGGAATCATAGCTAATTCAATTAGAGTGACTCAAAGGATAGGGGCCCTGGGTAACCTCTCAGTCAATAGCTATGGTGAGGAACTGTTTGTGAAAGTCTTAATCTGATCAGAGACAAGCTTTAACTCTACTTTGAAGGAGTTCACAGAGACATATTATTTACTCCTTCTTTACCCTTCCCCAAATATTCCAGGTAGGCTATAGGAAGTCTCCCATCTCAGTGTGAATTGAGGTAGGGGGGAGTCTTAACTGGGAGATCATGATTGTTCTAGACTTTATAGGTACCATAGGGAAATATTGCCCTGTTTACATTAAGTGTATTGGTAGCCAAAGGAATTTGACCCACATAGATGCAACTAAAACACTTACCACAACTTGGGGCATAGTGGTAGAAAAGACTGGCTATGTCCTGGCAAAGAAAGGAGGTCAGTACAGCTTGGCCAAGTGATGACTTGAAGCCTAGCAACTTTGAAGAATGGTCCATTGTCTTATTGAGATGTTTTTTAAAAATGAAATTGAGATTAGTTTCTTATCCCTGGAGAAGATGTGCCACAAAAGATCTTTGCTGAGATGCCTTTTTCCCCAGGATATGTTTAAAGAAAATGGAATTCAATGGCATTTAAAAACAAAGAAAACTGAACTAAGCTGGGTTTCCTTGCAACATCCAAGCTGTTTGCTATGGATGGAAACAATCTTTAGGGATGCTTAACAAAGGGAGTGGGGCGTCTTGAGTTGCTCAGACCTCATCAGGAGGAAGCCTGTACAATTAGAGTTTGAGGGGCAGAATTGGCTGTGCAGTTCAGAAGATGTGAGACAGCCAAATAGCGTTAACCAATTTGATTATAATATTTCTAGCTGCTGTATAGAATTACAACTTGACACTGGATCCCAGTAACCCACTGGTAAATGAATACACTGAAAAATTAGGATGCAGTCCCTTTGTGAGCTCTTTTGTACGTAAGTTCCATAGAAGTGAAGAGGGAGTGTATAAAGAAATATCAATGGACGGTGCTTTGATGTTTTTGAGAAATTCCCCTTCATTTAGTGAAGCTTGTATAGGAAACCCAGATTGCGGACATAAATAGATTTATATCTGTAGAGGCAGAGCAGTTTCAAATTCCTACATACAAATTTGGCTAAGGCTTAGGGCGATGTACATTGACTCTCCCTCAGTTAGAGTAAAGCAAATAGATGGTAAAAATTGGCCCAAGATTCAGTCATGGTTCTCCTTGAAAGAGTAAGTTGAAACAATTTCCCATTCATATCATCCTAAAAATGCAGTGTTTTTTTACAAGTGCCTTCTGTCTTACAAACCAAATATTGGGGATGTTTGAAATTGCCAGGCAGAAGGTTTCTTGCATATATATATTCATCAAATATATATATATATATATTTGATGAATCAGACCTCAGACCTTTGCAGTATGTCTTATACCAAGGTACACTGGCATCATTAGACACATATCTGGAGGTTGAGGGTATTTTTTGAGAGGCAGGCTGCTGACCTGACAGGGACAGCTTTGAGCTCTGCAGTCCTTGCTGGCTTCTGCTTTTCCTGCTGGAATACTTTAGAAAGACAAATTTTTCCTCACAACATAAAATTTTGTCTGCTCTATTTAGATTTAGGGCTTAGTTTACCCAGGAGCCTCTAAGTATGCCTCGGTATGACAAGGAAGCCTTGGAAGATTATGGCAGTTTCTTATTTGACAGCTGGGTCAAAGCTGTTCCAAGCAAACCAGAAGAGCTACTCCTTAGCACGGTTGCCGTGTTTCTTCCTGCAGTGGCAGAACAAGAAACCTGTTGTATCGGCCTGGTTACCATTGGAGTGCAAGAAGGTATTAGAAGCTTCCGGAGAATGAGCGAGTTACAGGATTGATAGGATCGAAAGGAGTTCTCAGTGACTGAAACAAATGGATGCTGCGATCTCCCAGAGGCTTCTTGGGATGCGATTTCACCAGTTGGGCTCCCTGAGATAATTAAGACAGTTCTTCTGCTCACACGATGAACAAATTTGGAGGACTTGTATTAAGAGTAGAAAACAATTTTGGCATCTTTTATAGCAGAGATAGCCGTGCCCCTGGGTCATAATGGGCTAATTAAAAAGATCGGGTCAGGCCAGAAGGACGTTGCTGTCAAAAACTTGAATCTTGCTTGTAAGAAATCTTTCCTTGCCATCGATGCTTGCTCCTGCTTATGCCCAAGAAAAGTGATCTTCCCCAAAAGCTCCCTTTTAAAAATCCAGTCTGCGCCCAAATCCTTTCCTTCTTCTGAGTCTGTAAGGGGTCTTCTCTTTTTTGTGTCATTTTCTAAAAAAAAAAATCAGCATTAAGGTATTAATGCAATTATCTTATGTTTTGTAAAAGTGCAGGATTTTATTTTCCAATGGAAACAGCATCTGCTGAGGATGGGATGTCTGACAGTATTTAAATGCCTGCCAAATGAACAGTCCAGTTGGTTTATGTACAGAACTATGGTGGAACGCAAGACTAATGGAGGAAGACAGGTGTTTATGGTATATATATATATATATGTGTGTGTATGTATATATGTATTAAAAACACTAAATTCTGCTTGTTGTCCTTATGAAAGAGTTCTCAGAAATGCATTTTGTATTAACCAGAGTACAGTTAAAGCTTGTCTTGAATTTTGAAATTAGAGCTGATGGGGGAGTATAATTTACAAATTTTGTTACATTTGGTATGTGGAGAATATTTTCAAGTTTATACCCTCACTGATAAATTTTATTTTAAGACATTAATGTAACATAATGTGAGGCTTTATTTTTTTACCTGTCTGGAGATGAGATGGGGTTTTTCTATCTTTCTAAGTAGAGATTTCCATTATCTATACTGTGATGGGCAACTATAGCAACTTTACAAACTGTGGACTTCAACTCCCAGAATTCCTGAGCTAGGTATGCTGGCTCTGAAATTCTAGGAATTGAAGTCCACAGCTCATAAAGTTGCATAGTTGCCTACCCCTGATCTATACACAAGTGTCAATTATAGGGGATACAAAAAAGGTATAGTTTTCTTCCTAGGACTTCCTCCTCCTCCTCCCCCCCCCCCAAATTCGTTGGGCAGGGAGTGCAGGCAGATTCCATTTTTCCCTCTGCTGAAAAGTTACCTGTTCTGCTCATTTCTCTTTCTAAGTCAACACCTTTTAAACATTGGCTCTATTTTTTTTCTTGTTCAAGAAGGTATCAGTCACCTTGTGTACGTCTAAGCAAAATCCTGACTTCTGTACCCCTCTCCCCCATCTCCAATTTCAGTAGTATTCTGTGGTGTTAAACAGCCTAAGCAGCCATTGTTTGTGTTGGATGAGTCGTTCTCAATTTGGTCCCCTACAGACATGTTGGGACCCCCAACTCCCAGAATTCCTAGGTAGCTGCAACACTTTGAGCTAAAGGCCAGACTAGACAAGTAGAGTCTATAGGGCATCCTTCTCTGTCCAAATGGAAAAATGAGTGCTGGGTTCCGAGAACCAAACTGATATTTCCAACACAGGGGAGGCCTACCCTGCTTGTATGTTGTAATATTTGCAAGCCTTCAACAAGCAGATGGTAGGCAAATCTCCCTGCAGGTGTGGACTCTCTGCTGCCTTCCAACTTCTTCCACAAAGGTAATTCATTCTCTTTAAGGTGGCAATATGACTTGGTTGCTTGGCCATACTCCCAAACCTATATGGATGATGGAAGATGCAGCATTTTCCTGTTTTTGGCAAGTGCAGCTTTCATTGTGCTTTGCTCCCAATTCCTTCCTTTTAATTTGGAAAGCTAGGAGCCCCTGCTCTTTGGTTCTGTCTCATCATCTAAGTTACTTCTAATTTTATGCCAGTGAGGATGGAGGGAAACTTTTTCAGTGACAAAAGTTCAGGATTTTTTTTTTAACTAACAGTTTCCCAGGAGGTAGTTTTCTTGAAGATCAATTTAATTCTCCCTACCACCCACCCCCCAGATCTACCACATCTCTCCCACTTGTTGATGGCTTAAAAGAAAGAAAAGTTCCTGACATCTTTTTCCAAGAAATCAAGGGTTCCATAGTTCAGACAAGCCCCTTTTCATTTCTTAGAAATCTTACTCAGCCTTCATACCTGGGAGTAAGTATGGTTCTCAGTGCTTGTAATGCAGTTTTGAATGGATGACGGCTTTCTTGAGATACCAGAAAATGTATCCATGAAGCAGATGGCTCCATCGCATCTAGTAAGTATATTGCCATCCCCAGGAAAGGTTTCTGTCCCTTGATTTTCAGGAGGAATCAAGGAGAAGTAGCAAGAGAAATCTATACCCTTGGAAGAGGAATATTTCTACTAAGGCAACTCTTTAAGGAAAATGTCAGAGTGGGCTCTAATCCAGTATGAGATGAAACTTTCAGAAAATAATTACTTTGGGGCTCAATTCGATTTTCTGATTCAAAAGAAAAAAAGACAAAAATAATTTTCTTTTTGCAGATTAATATCTCCTGATCTGTATGAAGAAGAATTGGTCAAAACAGATTAAACATTTGCTTGGATTCTTTCAAGACCGATTAAACATGACCTAGTAAAACTAGTAAAAAAGAAGATGAAGTATTCCGTTTCCATTTTTTAAAAAATGTATTAAGCATGGCCTAAATATTCAATGTGTGTTCTGTCTCGTATGTTTGATCTGACAACTTTTTGATGTGCTTCAAACTCCAGAACATCTCCATCTTGATTGGAGTCATTCCATACTTATTTTTTTATTTTTTGGTTCAACATAGGACTGTGACATTCTGAGATTGAAATTCAATTTTGCTAACAGGGGAATTAAAACCATGTAAATATTGTAAGAATGTTTATTTGTTGCACATAACTTTTTTGGTATAAAAATAAACGTAGAAATTATCTGTGGATATGTTTGCAGAATGTTTTGTAATCTGTGCTGATTTGTCTCCAACCCTCACTGAAGTCATAAATTCTTTGGTCTTTAGTTACCAAACATAGCCATTTCTGGACTTTACTTTTTAAATAGAGTATTTATGTTAAAAGTGCCACTTTTAAACCAAAAACACATAGGGTTGCAGTGGCTGAATTCAAGCATTGTGTTAAGCCATGTTTTAAGGACTATTCCTTAAAGGAATTGGCTGAATTCATAAATGTTAAGGCATAAACCATTGGTCATTAATTGTAGTACTAGGTTCACGCAACATGATGTGATTTGCTTGTTTGTGACTTAGTATTTTGTGGCAAATGTACACAATTGTGGTATATTCATTAAATGATGGAAAACTATCACATGAGACCCCAATTTAATATTGGGTTCATAGTGGGCTGTAAGCCATAGTTATAGGTGTTTTGGTTTGGCTTTGTGTGTTATGGCAACCCAAACACTGCATTTAAAGACCATGGGTAATATGTGTGTGGAGTGATGCTTTTTAGTACCTCCTAAACATCTATAATGATCTGTCAGATGGATAATATGCTCTTGACAGGAACTGCCATGTTGACTTTTTCACACACACACACACACGGGGGGGGGGGTCTTACATTTTTTATGGGTTCATCAATCAATCCTGCCCTCTAGGAATGCCCTTCCAGCTGAGGGCATTACATTACACTGAGTCAACCCTTAATTGTGGGAATGCCTTTCATATTTATTAATTTACTTTGTTGCAATAGAATCTTTCTGCTTAGGATAGGCAGATGTTGATGTTTGATGACGTTAGAGGTATTTTTGCCAGATGTAAGTTGCCTTTTGCAATTGACTGGTGATGAATTTGTCAATGTGGATAGTATTCAAGTGGTGCTCCAGTTGTTTTGGGATTGGACCCAGGGTGACTATTACAAGGGAAATTCAGAAATAAACCTCTGTTTGGTTATCAATAAGACACTCACAGACACAGAACTTTTATTATACACATTAGAAAACTACAACATTACTTTACTTTTTGACATAATCGCCATTCCAATTGAGGCACTTGTCATAATGTCTTACAAGGTTTGAAATTCCTTAGTAGTCACTCGGTGCCAAATCTGGGCTATGGGGGTGTGTGTGATCAAAAATATCCCAATGGAACTACTTCAAAAGTTCTTGGGTGCATCTAGCGGTGTGCAGGCGAACATTATTGTGAACCAACACCACACTGGAAGTCAGCCTGCCTCGACGCTTGTTATGGATGGTTCATCTGAGTTTTCGTAATGTTTCACAGTCCCCCTGCTCGGGCAGGAAACCCTACACCATTTCGGACAAATGGCTGTCCAGTCTCTTCTTAAAAACTTCCAGTGTTGGAGCATTTACTGCTTCTGGAGGCAAGCTGTTCCACTGATTAATTGTTCTCACTGTCAGGAAGTTTCTCCTTAGTTCTAGGTTGCTTCTCTCCTTGATTAGTTTCCACCCGTTGCTTCTTGTCCTGCCTTCAGGTGCTTTGGAAAATAGCTTAATTCCCTCTTCTTTATGGCAGCCCCTGAGATATTGGAATACTGCTATCATGTCCCCCCTTGTCCTTCTCTTCGTTAAACTAGACATACCCAATTCTAGCAACCGTTCTTTATATGTTTTAGCCTCCAGTCCCCTAATCATCTTTGTTGCTCTTCTCTGTACTCTTTCTAGAGTCTCAACATCTGTAACAGTGAGTGTCTGTCTTTGATAAATGGAGGCTTATTTCCAAATTGCCCTCATACTATTGGTACTACATGTGCTTTCTTTTGCCACAGTTCTATTTCTATTTGTAGGTCTTGGTATTTGGTATCTTTACCAATTCTTTCTCTTCTCTTCTGCTGTCTCCAGGTACTGCCATATCCACTATCCAGACTTTTTTTGTCATATCAACAATTGTTAAGACTGGGTTGTTATGTGGCAGTTACCTGTCAGTTTGAATTCTAAAGTTTCAGAGCACTTTAGCTTCTTCATTTCTTATGAGTTTATTTTATGGTTCCACCATAAAATAAAGTTTGTTTATGGGCAAATTAGTATTATTATCAAATTTATTTGCTGCCTATATTACAGTTCAACTCTTTAGTAGCTTGAGCCCATCAATCAGTTCTACTCTCCAGAATATCTTTGCAAAGATGTCCTATGTTTATGGTATTTTTCATGCACTTACACAATCCATGTTATCAGGCATACCATAGCTATACCACATTATGTAAGCTATTCCTGTTTGTATTATTTGAGTTTCATGTGTGGCTGAGGCTTAAGTAGCAGACCACTTTACTGTTTCTTTACCTAAACAATAGTGAATGATGTCGAGAAAAAATAAGGTATTGTTTCTTCTACTTAAAACTCATTAAACAGTCATAAATTGAGCATCTAAGTTTTGGTAAATGATTACCAAGTTTATCAAGTAAGAACAAAGCCAGATATCCTTGAATTACGAAGAGGGAAGACAAAAAAGGGATTGGGGCAGGAGGAAAGTTACTTAAGATCCTTCTGATATATTAAAGTTATAAGCTAATGTTAAAATCCATTGCATAGTTTCTTTGTACTTTATTGATCTTTCATAGGCAGACTGTATTCTGGGAAAAGGTATTCTGGGAAAAGTGGGAACCAACAGGATGACCCAACCAGGAAAATTAAAAGCAGAATCATCTTCCTCTCCATTCTGTAACTATCTCCTCTTTTTCAAATTTATCAACTAATGTCTCCTCAAGTTCTTTTTCATCCCATCTCTCCAGATATGATGGCCTTGTCCTGTTCAAATTCCTCTTCCTGTGTAAATGTAGCTTAGTTTCATCAACCTGTGGTTTGTGATTAGTGCAGCAGCATCTCTGTGTGTAGGGTCAAAGCAGGCAAGCTGGTGGACAAAGCAGCACAATTGATGCCCTGTCCCTTTATATGTTTTTGTAACATCAATGCATGAAATTAAAGGCCAAGGTGTGGACTGTGAACTGCCAACCCATCTTGTCCATTTTTATTTCCTTCTACAGAAGCTAACTGGTTCAGTGTCTTAGCCGCAAAATCTGAAATTTAGTATTCCAAATTTACGTTACGTTTGTCCTTGCTAAAGAATTAGGAGTCTTTATGTAGACTTAGGGCAAAGTCAGTGAGCATCCAATATGAAACTACTAATTTTAAAAGCTTTATTTTAGCAGTATAAGGACCTCACTTTCATTCTCAGTCACACAAGCCACGTGTACCAAGAAGTATTTCTTGCTGTAGACCAAGTGACATAAGGAACAGAGATGTTCAGAGAGAGTTCTCTGAGATGATCTTCAATGGAGCGGAAGATGGGAGTTCAGACTTCTTTCTTCTGCTCTCTTTTTATAGGCAATGTAAGCTTGGATTCAGCACTGTAGCTTGGACTGTATCTATGATTCTTCATCAATCTGCAGAGACCTTTCATCTTTGTGGAGGCCATTAGGCTGTTCCTTTTGTGCCCATACCATGACCACTGAGTAACCTCATGGGCTACAAGAAACTTGCTGGAATGATGGATTCAAGAATTCCTTATCCCTTCACATCCTAGTGTCCCTTGGAATCTCTCTGAATGTCTTATGTTTAGGCATGTAGAATCAGTTATCACTTTCAACAAGTGAAACACTACTCTTTAATGTCAGTCCATTAATGTATTTTATAATAAGGGATGGATTTCTTATGCTTTCAGATAAAATAAGGGTTCATGCTTGTACCGTGGGTTCTTTGGAACAGCAGAGTTACTTGGAATAACCCAGGTCATAAGGAATTAAAACGAATGAAATGATAATGCTGGATGCCAGATGTACAAAGCTATCATTTTGCAGGGCAGGGGTGATACAGTGCTGATTGTAGAGTTTGGCTCAAAAGTAGGGTAACTGGAATGGTGAACTCCAGCCATTAAGATAAAAATGTTGGGATGAACAATGAGGTTTCTGCCTTTGCTAATCTTCGAAATCTTGTTCCCCTATTAGGTGGAATTTTACATAGGTGTAATTCCTGAGTAGGTTTGCAAATACTAATTTGTGTCTTGATTACATGCTTTCAAAATCATTTAAATGTGTTATTTTGAAACTTCTGTTTCATGTGGCTGAGTGCTCATTTTTGTGAGGAACAGGGAAAATGCCATTATGGAAGAAAACTCTTTGGAATATTTCTGATCTGAAGGCAATCAACCTCTCCCAAATATGCAGTATGGTTAAAACAATATTGGTCTATTTTGTAAAGCAATAGAAATACTGAGATATGTGATTAAAACCAGAATATGAACATAAACATTTGTGGCCAAGTCCTTGCGTCCTCATTTTTCTCTATCACACAATGATCTCCCCATGAGATAAGGCCATTATATTTCAAACTATATAGAGCCACCCATTCCTTGAGCGGGAATTCATTGAGAAGAGCATTCATGACCACAACATAGAACAAAATAAATCCTTCATATCATGGCTTAATCCATATAGGAAGTCCTCTACTCACGTAATGGCTGTTTGAAGTTATGATGGACCCTCCTCCCCAAAAGAGATGCCTTGGATTCAAACTTCTGACATCTGGGCCCCCTGGTCATATGATCACATTGGGAACTTGACAACCAGCCGTTTGAAATGTCCCGTGGTCACAAGACCATAATTTACATTTCCCTCCCCCTAGAAACCAGGGTTTTCTTCCAGTTTGTGGTAAAAAAAAGTCCCATAGTGAACAGTGAGTTTGCTTAATGACCATGGTATTCGCTTAACAACTGCCACAAAAAGGTCATAAAATCAGAAATGGTCACATGGCGACCCACTTAACAACTATTATGACTTACAACTATAATTGAGGACTCAATTGCAGTTGTAAGTTGAAGACTATCTACGGTCAACCTAAGCCAACCTTTTGCCAATTATGTCGCCTCCAGATAAGAGATATAAAGCCATGCTAGCCATGGTGTCTACCTTGATGATTTCTTCAATCTATTTCAAAATCACCTTCCTGTTCCTAGTTTGTAGACTAGTATCTT